TGTGTGTGTGTGTGTGGCCAGCTCAGCCCACCAGGGGGCGGGGCTGGCTGGCATGTGGTGCTGGGGGATTGAACCGTGGTCCCTGTGCTTTAGCTAGGCTTGTTCTAAGTAGGTGCTTTCGACCACTGAGCCATCTCACCAGCCCCTGCAGCAGTATATTTTGCAGCAGGGCGACATTAGCTTATCCCGTCAAAAGAACTCCCTTAATATTATCTCTTTCTTCTTGGCCTAGAGCTGTTTTTTCTAAGCAATTTTTTTGGCATGAGGTTGATTGTTTCTTTATAGAAAAAGCCAATACAAGCCAGATGTTGTGGCTTATGCCTTATAAGCTCAGCACTTTAGGATGCTGAGACAGGAGGATTGAAAGTTTGAGTTTAGCCTGGGAAATTTAGCAACTGACAAAGACTGTTTTTCAAAAAAAGGGCTGGGAATGTAATTTAAAAGGCCCAGGATACAAACTGCCCCCCACACTCAATACCATGAATGATTAACATGCATATCTTTGTTATATCATTATGTTTATTTTTATGTAAAGTTATGAATTTATACTTGTCTAAGTATTGATAGGCAGTGTTCCCTGGGTTTAGGTAGTCCTAAATTGGATAATCATTCCTTTTTATATCCAGAATACATTGTAGTAAGAGTGCTTATGATAACTGAAACATCTTGAAGAATAATTGCTCATTATTCTGAATCTGTTTTTTATTTTATAGCTTGAAATTTTATCACTTGCAATATATTATCATCATAGTTACCTATTGTATGATATATGTTATTGAGTCTTTAAAAACCTTTAGAATTGTGAAGTTCTATAAGACTTAGCATCTGGAAAATCTTTTTAGGAATGGTGGTTGTGGATGAGCTACATATGTTGGGAGACTCTCACCGAGGGTATCTGCTGGAACTTTTACTCACCAAGATTTGCTATCTTACTCAGAAATCAGCATCTCGGTGAGTACCTGAAATGACTGTATTCCAGCTATCCATGCAGGAAGGAGAAACTATCTTCAAAGTGCAAAGTACAAGTTAAAGGGATACAGTATTTTAAGAAGAAAAGATAAATGTAAAAGTTTGTTCTCATTTTATTTTATTTTTTTGGCCAAACTTTTTATTTAGTATTCTGTAGTTGTTTAACACACACTTAAATGGTCTTACTGGGGGAGGGGGAAGGGGAGGTTCTTGCAGATTCCCAAGGAAATGTCAAAAAGGCAAATTATGGCCAGCATTATCCATTTGTTTTTGGGTTTACTGGGTGAATAGCACTTTCCTTACATAGGTATCTGATCTGAGGCCTTTTCATACTGAGTTGTTCTCATTTTAAAAGAAGTACTTCAAACTAGATTAGTTTGTAAACATTAAATTTGGCTGCTCCATATTCCTCTTAATTTATATTTAATAAGTTGTCTAGGTATAAAAGTCAAGATTAGAAATATTTTATTGCTTTACTTTTCATTTTATTGAGAAATCCAATACATTCTGATCCTTCATCCTTTGTATAATATTTAAACTTTTTTTCTGGGAGCTTTTTCTTTTTCCTTTAGTGTGGTGAGATTTCATACTGATAACATCTTGGTGTTGGTCTGGTTTGATTTATTTTATTTTATTTATTTTTTATTTTTTGCCAAACCAGATATTGAACTTAGGCCCTTGCGCTTGCCAAGGAAGCGCTTAATCTACTGAGGCATCTCCCCGGCCCCTGTTTTGATTTATTTTGCTGGGTACTAAATAGGTTTCATCCACAAAGTAAGATTTTGGATTGTATCTTTAAATTTGGGGGTCTTGAGTTTTTTGAGAATATTTAGAATTTATATATTCTAAATATTAGTCGTTTGTCTGAGAAACAGCTGGCATAAATTATTTTCCACACTGTGGGTTGTCTCTTCTCTCTGTTGGTGGTTTTCTCTTGTGCAAAAGCATTTTAATAAGATTAAAAATCAGTTGTAGATTCTTTGTAATAGTTTCTGTAAAATTTGGGTTTTATTCATAAAATATTTTCCTATACCAGTGTCTTCAAGAGTTCTACCTATTCTATCTTCCAGCAGGTCTAATGTTTCTGTTTTAATATTTAGATCTTTGATCCATTTTGATTTAGTTTAATGCATGGTGAAAGATGGGTCTAGTTTTAATCTTTGACATATAGAAAGCCAGTTTTTCCATATAGGAAGATTTAAATATGTCTTATTATATGATAGAATATACTACATGATAGATTGAACTATTTCATTAGGGATATAGAAGATATGACTAATACAGTCAGCAAGTTTGACCTAATTGTTGTATATAGAATAATTACCCCAAACAGCAGAATATATGGTTTTATTTTATTTTTTATTTATTTATTTTTTTAAAAATCTGCTTCTTCAGCTGGCTCCACTGCTCTGGATTTATTTATTTATTTATTTATTTTTTGTGTATGTTTGTGTGTGTGTGTGTATGTGTGGCCAGCTCAGCCCACCAGGGGGCGGGGCTGGCATGTGGTGCTGGGGGTTTGAACCGCGGTCCCTGTGCTTTGCTAAGCTTGTTTCAAGTCAGTGCTTTAGACCACTGAGCCATCTCACCAGCCCCTGGTTTTATTTTATCCAAATGAAATATTTATGTAAAGATTTAGTCTTAATATATTTCAAAGGATTAAAATCACGTAAAACATACTGTTTGCCAGCAGGCCTGGTGGCGCATGCCTGTGATCCCAGCACTTGAAGAGACTGAGGCAGGAGGAGCACTGTGAGTTTGAGGCCTGCGCTACATAGTGAATTCAAGACCAGCTGAGTTACATAGCGAGACCCTGTCTTAAAAAACAAAAAAACAAACAGAAAGAACCCCCCATAAAACTTCTTGAATGTAATCATTATATACTGCAAACAGGTACAAATAAAAGTTAAAAAAAATACTCCTGGACAACAGTGGAATCTAGGTATAAATAAACATAAGCAAGGTGTAACTAGAAAATGTATACATGTTTAGAAATAAAATATATTTTTGACTCTTTTGGGACAAAAGAATCAATAGAAATTAGAAAATAGTTTTGGATTATAAAAAAATCTCATAAATGGATGCAACTGATACTGTTTTAAATTGAAAATTTATTTTATTCTTTGTCTTTCAAGACGGGGTTTCATTATATAGTTCAGGCTGGCCTTGAACTCTCTTTGTAGCTCAGGCTGGCCTCTTTCTTGCAATGATTCTCTTGCCTTATTGTGACTGCTGGGATTATGGGTGTGTGCCACCACATCTGGATAGCTAAAGCAAAATTGATCATTTTATATATACATGTATATAAATTACTTTATCTATTTTAAGAACTTCAGAAAAGAATTGCAAGGTAATATTACAGAAAGTAGAAGAAAAAGAATAGTAAAAACACCCACAAAAATTAATGAAAGAGGAAAGTCATTATCTGAACTATTTTAATCAATTCTATAAGTAAGAAAAGCACAAATAGCCCAATTATTATTAATTTTTTGGTCCACTCAGCCCACCATGAGGGCAAGGTTGGTGTGGTGTGTGGTACTGGGATCAAACCACAGTCCCCTGCGCCTGCCTAAGCTTGCCTCAGCAGGTGCTTTAGACTGCTGAGCTATCTCACTGGCCCCCAAATAGCCCAATTATTGATGAGGAATCTGAACTGACATTTGCAAGACAGTACACAAATGGCTTGTGAATGTGAAATGGTGCTCAGTCTCGTTAGCAAGCAAGTAGACTTGCATACAGTCTTCCAACAAGTATTATCGTACACTGTCCATAATGGCTAACATTAAATAGGTTGATAATACCAAGTTGTGACTAGAACAGTAGAGTACATGTGAATTGTTGGAGTATTACTTTGATACAGTCTCTTTGGAAAATTGAAGATAAAATTTGACCGCGTAATCCATGATCCAGTAAGTGTAAGTTCTAGGTCTACATATTAAAAGTGGTATGATTGGAAAATATGGTAAATGTTTAAATTTTCTGTGCTATTACCTACAATACATTTTAAAATTTAGACAGTCATCACATTTTGATCACCCCTGGTAACATATGTGTGCCAAAGGACATGGTTAAGAGCATTTCAGTAGCACTACTTGTTAATTTAGTGTGTATCTTTGAATGTGATTTTCATCTGTTTTTCTTAGCCCAGAAGATTTAGCCAGTCCTCTCACTGTGCAGGTTGTTGGCATGAGTGCCACTCTTCCTAATTTGAAGCTTGTGGCTTCCTGGTTGAACGCTGAACTCTACCATACTGACTTTCGTCCTGTACCACTTTTGGAGTCAATAAAAATTGGAAATTCCATTTATGACTCTTCAATGAAGCTTCTAAGGGAATTTAAACCTATGCTACAAGTGAAGGTAACTCATTACCCTCACATTGCTACTATCAATATCTTTGTGTTCGATGGCATTTTCTAACTAGTTATTCACAATTTTTGAATTATATAGTTAGAAGTCACAAAGTTTATATATCCATTAGAGTTAGCATTAAGCTAATATTAAAGAGTTAATGGTGATAAGAGTATACTGTGTCTTTAAATGGTTATTTCCTGTATATACTGTAAACATTTAAAAATGCCTAATTTTGTGAATTTTTCTGTTTAAGGATTTTTGGGCTGGATGTGGTGAATGTCTGTAATCCCAGCCCTTGGGAAGCTGAGGCAGGAAGATCATTTCAAGTTTGAGACCAGCCTGGGTACCAAGTGAGCTCAAGGCCAGCCTGAACCTCACAGTGAGACACCATCACTAAAAAAAATTAAATAAATAAGGATTTTCTTATGGTTTAGCCTATACTAGCTTAATGTGGAAAAGTAACCATTTATTAGTTGTACCAATTTTGTATTATGCCAATGGTATATAGCATACCAAAAATACCAAATGTATATATTAAATACTTAATAGCATATAGAATGAAAAGAACTTAATTTTAGAATTTGGAAAGTCCTACCTCTGAGTCTTTTTTTGGGTCTCACTAAGTAGATCGGACTGGTAGTGATCCTTCTGTTTTCAGCCTCCCAGGCACTGGGATTATAGGCATGAGCCACCACACCCAGTCTCAGTCACCTTCTCAGTGTGCTCTGGGGTCAGGGCCAGCACGGCATGCTGGGGATCGAACCCTGGCCACTGTGCTCTGCCTAAGCAGGTGCTTTAGTTAGCTGAGCTATCTGGCCAGTGTGAACCTCTGAGTCTTTAAATAGAGATAATTGTTAGGACTGAGATACTGGTTGAATTATAAAATCCCTCTAACCTATCTGTTTATAAAATAGGGTTGTAATTATTTAGTAGTTGGAACAAAAATAATTTTTAAAATTGCCTAGCATTTAGAAGAGTTTGATAAGTATTTAGTATACTTTCAGACCCCTGAATACACTATTTTTTATTTTTTATCTTTTTGAATAAAAAATTGTAATAGTTTTTTTAGTACATTTTCGTAATATATATTGTATATATTCATTGTGGGAAGTTGGTATGTTTATGTATCATAGCTTAGGTTTTTTTTTTAACTTCCTAGCATTTAGAAGAGTTTGATAAGTATTTAGTATACTTTCAGACCCCTGAATACACTATTTTTTATTTTTTATCTTTTTGAATAAAAAATTGTAATAGTTTTTTTAGTACATTTTCGTGATATATATTGTATATATTCATTGTGGGAAGTTGGTATGTTTATGTATCATAGCTTAGGTTTTTTTTTTAACTTCCCCTGTTCTCCTATACTATTCTTTAAAATTTTTAGTTGACAGTATTTTTACTTGCTGAGCCTGATTCTTTAAGCTCAAGATTGAAGAAGTGTTATATACTTTTCTATTAAGTGAGTGATATTTTCTTTTCTTTTCTTTTCCTTTCCTTTTTTTTTTTTTTTTTTTTGCTTTGGTAGCCCTGGGGATTGAACCCACATCCTTCACACAGAACTATTTCTTCAGGTCATTTTTATTTTATTTTGTGTATGTTTAATTTTTAGACAGGCTCTCACTAAATTGTTAAATTGACCAGGTGGGCTCTAACTCATGATTCTCCTATTCTAGCTTCCTAGGGCATTGGGATTTTAGATGTAAAGCTGGCTGAAGCATCATCTGTTTATTTATTTATTTATTTATTTATTTATTTTATTTAGAACAGGGTCTACAGAGTCATGCTATATAGATCGAACTGTAGTGATTCTCTTGTTTTCAGCCTCTCAAGTGCTGGGATTATAGGCGCGCCATCAGCTGGCATGGCATGCCAAAGATTGCACCCCTGCTGCTGTGCTCTGCCTAAGCAGGTGCTTGAGTTCACTGAGCTATCTGGCTGGCCCTACATCTTCTATTTTATTTATTTATTTTTGTAGGTTTTTTTTTTTTTTTTTTTTTTTTTTTTTTGGGTTTTTTTTTTTTTTTTTTTTTTTTTTTTTTTTTTTTTTTTTTTTTTTTTTGAGGTAGGGTCTCACTGTATAATCCAGGCTGGTCCTGAACTCAATATGTAGTTTAAGCTGGCCTCAAACTGGTGGCAATCCTCCTGCCTTGGCCTCCTGAGTGCTGGGATCACAGGCATACACCATAAGGCCTGGCTATTTTTAATACATGCTTATCCTTTTTAGTGCTCAGGGCCACTTTAGAGTAAGGAGTAGGACTACATTTGTGTCTCAGTATCTTCACAGGTTTGGATTTGTGACCTCTGCATACTTGGTATGGAATCTTTCTCAGTTGCTTTGCTCATTACCCTAAATTTCTCCAGGCTTTTCTCAAGCAGCTCTGTAAGTTTATATGTTGAACACTTTTTTGTTGCTGTTTTTTTGAGACAGGCTCTTGCTATGCAGTTCAGGTTGGCCTTAAGCTCATCTTGTAGCCCAGGCTGATCTCAAACTCACATCAGTCCTCCTACTTCAGTCTCCTGAGTGCTGAGATTACAGGCCTGTGCCACCACACCACACCCGGTGCTTGTTGAACACATTTTTTCCTCATTTGTTTATCTTTTCTTCTGATGACTACACCTGCGCTAGATCTGAACCACCTTTACTTATGAACTGCATTACTGGAACAGCCTCCTAATTGTTTTCTCTGCTTGTTCCCTTCAGTCTGCTTAAATAAAGAGCCAGGGTTCTATTTAAAGTGAACATCAGATCATGTTATTTGTTTGCTCAAAACCGTACAGTGGCTTATTGTTTCATTTAGGATCAAAGCCAACACCTTTCAAGCAGCCTGGGGAGCCCTGTGTGATCGGCTCCCAGGGTGCTCTGAGTGTGCCTGCCGTGGTCTTCCCTATGCTCCTCCCCATTCTTTCCTGTGCGAGGTGTCTCTCACCTCACTTCTCTTTATCTGAAGTGCCCTCCTCTCTGGTATCAGGATAGTTCAATCACCTACCCTGGATCCTTTACTCAAAAGTCACTTTCTTAGACCTTCCCTGGACACCTTATCCAAATTACAGTGTCTTTTTCATGGTCCCTAATTGTCTTCCCTGTTTTATTTTTCTTCTTAGTGTTTTTTCAAAATTGAACATATTGTACATTTTGCTTTCTTTTTGCTATTTTCTGACTCTTCCTGCTGGAGTAAACACAGCATGAGGGCACAACTTGTTTCTGCTTTGTTCTCTGCTTCGTCCTCAGTTCCTAGAACAATAACTGATAGTCTGTTGCATAGTGAATGAATGGAGGTGTGAATTCAATACACAGATTGATATTTTTCCACTGTGAAGTTGCAGGTTGGCACAGAGCACTCACATGCTCTTTGTTCTGCCTGAACAATGTGTTACTTTTCATTGAGATAATATTCCCCACTCCCATTCACATCTTAGCTAAATAATTTTCTTAGGGAAATTTTTCTTTCAGGTCTTAGTCAAATTTCTGTCAAATATGAGATCTTAAAAAGACTATAAAAACTGTTTTATAGTATATCTCATGGTTGTGTTTTACATTTATTTGAGGTTTTTTTTCTAAGACTATGTTTTGATTTGTAGTTCAGGGTGGCCTTGAGTTCACTATGTAGCCCAGGCTGGCCTCAAAACTTGCAGGTATCCTGCCTCAGTTTCCCAAGTGTTGGGATTACAGGTGTCCACCACCACATCCAGCTACATTTAATGGTTTAAATACTTTTAGGTGTCTCTCAATGAGATTATAAACGTCTTGAATTTAGAACTTTGACTTTCTTTTGCTTACCAGTATGTTCCTCTTGCTTAAAGGTTGGAGCTCAGCATATATTCTTTGAATGCATAAAAATATTTTCCTTCTCACCTTGCATCATAAAGTTTATGTTTTACTTCTTATTTTTGTTGTTACTGATTTTCAAAGTTATATTTACTATTGTTTTGAGTACAAAAACCTTCCCCATGGAACAAAATGAGTGATTTTAAACTGATGTGAGAATATTTTGAAAATATCGCTGAAGTAAGTATTTTTCTCTTTTTTAGGGAGATGAAGATCATGTTGTTAGTTTATGTTATGAGACTGTTTGTGAGAACCATTCAGTATTACTTTTTTGTCCATCAAAAAAATGGTGCGAGAAGCTGGCGGATATCATTGCTCGAGAGTTCTACAATCTACACCATCAAGCCAAGGGTGAGCTACAGATAGAAATGCAAGTCTCCATTGTTAGTATGTGTGCAAGGGATGGATGAAGGGAGGTGGGAGGGAAGGGAGAGGGATGAAAAAATGAATTAAGATGTGTTATGTACAAGCATGAGTTCCCACAAGAATGTAATCATCATGTATTGCTAACATGTACTATGAATAAAGTAACGATAGTGGTCCAATTAACAAACCATGACTGTCATCATGACTACCGCTGGCCCACTTGTCACCCCTTTACAGAGCTGTGTTTTTGTGAGTTTTCTTCTCTCCTGCCTTCTTAGAGACAGTGTGTACACACACCCTCAGGGTAATCATCTTCAGATTTTCAGAGCATTGTGCTTATATAGATATATACCAGCATCTTTTATTTGGACCTCTGAGCTTTGAGAGTTCCTAAATTGTATACCAAACTACATTTATAGCATACCTCCTACCCCTGGAATGTGGCAGGACTAGAACTCACTTTGTAGCCCAGGTTAGCCTCAAACTCTCAATGATCCTCTTGCTTCAGCCTCCTGAATGTTGGGGTTACAAGTGTGCACTACCGTATCTGGATTATATGTATTTTAAAATTACTTCTATTGAGGTGTAGTTTTTACATAATAAAATGTATCCTCTTTAACTGTGTAATTTAATGAATTTGAGTGGCTATGACATCTATCTCACCATCACTGTAATCAAATACACAGAACAGTTCCATCACTAAAGTTCTGTTCTGCTCTTTTGATGTCAGCCTTCTTCTTTTATCTTGGCAGCTTTCTGTCACTTTGTTTTTTTCCAGTTCGTTTTGGCTAATATGTAAGATGTTTTATTATTAAGGTTGATTGATGTAGTTCAATTCATATCTGAACTTAAATGGCTTATCATTAGATAGTTTTTAAAAAATTTTGTATCATGGGCTGGTGAGATGGCTCAGTGGTCTAAAGCACCTACTTAGAACAAGCTTAGCAAAGCACAGGGACCGCGGTTTGATCCCCCAGCACCACATGCCAGCCAGCCCCGCCCCCTGGTGGGCTGTGCTGGTCACACACACACACACACACACACACACAGATAAATAAAATTTAAAAAAAAATAAAAAATTTTGTATCAGTTATTTTTGCCTTATGAGATTTTATATTCTAAAACAGTGTTCTTAATGTGGATATTTCTATTATTGGAGATTACTTGTATCTTAGAAACTAAGAATGTCGCATAAATGCAGTCATACAGCATGTCTATGTTTTCTTTTTTATATTTGTTTTCTATGGCTTCTTCCATTCTGAATGATTTTTTTAAAAAATTGTTTGCTGTAAGGAGAATAAAAGTAGTAAAGAAAACCAGTAAAAATGATACTGTATTTCTCTAAGCAAAATGATAGGAATTCAAGAATGATTGTTATATTGAATGTTGTCTTCGAATTAGTTGCTCAGACTACCAGATATAAGCATGCAAGATTGGTCAGAAAATTGATAAAAAGAAATTTTAGCATTAACTCTTCCTTTCAGTAGACCAGTACAAATCAGCAGGATAATTATCCAAACTATTCTTTCCCTCATCCCAGTTGTTTGTTTTTGAGGTTCATTGATGTTGCATTTATAACTTGTCCTTTTTAATTGCTCAGTGCTAACCCAGTGCATTATGTAACCATTAATATATATTTATATTTATTCAAGGATGAACACTGTTGTCTCAATACTTTTACTAACTAGCTTATGGTCTTTTGGGGGTCTAAATAAACATAGGGAAGACAAACCAGATCCAGTTGCAGAGTATTAGGGTATTTTATTACTTCATTATGTCAGTGGTTGCATGAGGGCAGGTAGCAGATATGTCAAGCCTGGCTCAAACAAGTAAACTTTGCCTAAAATTTATATTGTTTATGTTCTAGTCCAACATTGTATTACCTGTTCCACTTTCCTCATAGTTGATTTGTTCTGTACCATGCTAACTTGTATTTTTTACATTGTGCCATGACAACTCATTCCTTAATGACCAGATTCATTATCTTTTCCTTTCATTGAGGTTTTGGCATCTTGATTTGTAACTGTGGTTCCCACATGCTTGTTCTTCATTTACAACCTGTGCTGTGATGAAATTTCAAAATAATGATAAAATCAAAATAATGATAAAGCAGCACATTTTTCATAAAGCTGATGTTTAAAATTTGAGATTACTCCCACTGATTTATTAAATGTCAAAATGGCTTCTGAAATAAATCTATTAATAGGATGGTAGTTTAAAACATTTTTAGTTGTCCTTAGCAAAATAAAACATTGGCAACCCTCTGTGGTTCATCAAAATTTTTTTAAAAAGTTTATTTAAAAATATAAAAAAAATAAGTACAAAATCTAAAGGTCTGGAAAATTCTTTAGGAAAGTGGTTCTTGCATTTAAGAAAGTTTAGGTCTTACTGGGAGAAGGTTACACAGACAGGTAAAACCAAAAGACAGTATATTATTATCAGTTATGTCATAGAGACTGGAAGGATATACCTAGAAATCTAGGCTTCAAAGTGACAATGATACTGTTGGTTTGTGGGACACACCTTGAATTAAGATCGATCGACCAATCGATTGATCTATCTTTCTTTCTCTCTGTCTCTCTCTCTCTTCTTTCTCTCTTTCTCTTTCTCTTTCTCTCTTCTCTCTTTCTGTCTCTCTCTCTCTTTCAGGTCTTTTTTGAGACAAGCTCTGGCTATGCCATTCAGTCTGGCTTTGAATTCACTTTGTTGCCTAGGATGGCCTTGAACTTGCAGCAACCCTCTGGCCTAAATCTCCTAAGTGCTGGGATTACAGGCCTGCAAGGTTTTGATTTCTAAGCTTTGAGTAGTAAGCAGTTTCTTTTCTTTCTATTTCTTTTCTTTTTATGTATTTAGTACAGCGTTTACTAAAGATCAGACTTGTAGTGATCCTTCCTGTTTTTCAGCCTCCCAAGTGCTGGGATTACAGGCATGTGCCACCATGCCCAGTCTCTGTTGCCCTCTCAGCGCTCCCCAGGGTTGGGGCCGGCAGGGCAGGCTGGGGATCGAACCCCCAGCCCCTGGGTCTGCCTAAGCAGGCACTTTAATCTGCTGAACTATCTGGCCGGTCCCTATCAGTTTCTGAAACTCTCCTTTTTCCTGTAGCAGATTCCTCTCTTTACCTTTGGGCTTGATAGCATTCTAATAATACAGAGTCTTCTAAACTGTGGTACACATTAGAACCACCTGGAGAGATTTAAAAATTCTTCAGGTCTACGTCACACCCTATCCCAGGTATATCACAGCACTTGGAGATCAGTATTTCATAGTTTGCAGTGCTTTCTCAACAATTGCTGTGGCATTTTCTGTCATGATTTAGGCCCATAGTACTTAAGAGGTAGACAGTGTTGATCAGTATTAATTATGTGTGTGCATGTGTGTGTGTGTGTTTGTGTGTGTGACAGGACTGACAAACCCATCTGAATTTATACCACCAATTCTGGAATCAAAGAGCCTCCAGGAAGTAGTAGATCAACTGAAACGGTCACCTTCAGGACTGGATGCAGTGTTACAAAAAACTGTACCGTGGGGAGTAGCATTTCATCATGCAGGTATTCTGTATTATAATCTGCTATTAAGAAGCTCTTTCAAAGCATTCTCAGTTTCTTCATTTTTATATTTATATGTGTTTTTTCCTGTTAACTGTGCTTCATACTTGAGATTTCATTTAAAAAACTGTCTTGCTTAAGTGAAACAAGTGTAAAACAAGTAAGTTTACTTCTCTGTGTAACATGTAGATATTAGGTAGAGGCTTTTGTGAACTGTTGGGGAAATTTTAAAATTGTTACTTTCCTATGTGTTTTTTTTCCTTAAAATTTAGGTTACAGTGGTATTTGTAACTATGTTATACTAGCTGTCTTCTTTTATTACAAGGAGTCTTAAGATATCTTCCCAGATATTTCAAAATAAATTTATTTTAGAAATTGTCATGTTGCATTTGGGGAGAGCTAAAGTATATAAAAATCAAATGGATGGGTTGTCAGAATTGCAAAAATTTTGACAATCACGGAATTGAACTTTTTTTTTGAAGTTTTCTGTCTATAATCATATGAGTTTAGGATATAATAAAGAAGATTTATGGGAGGGGATACTGGAGAAATATCTCAGTGGCATAAGCACATGCCATTGCAAGGACAAGGTCCTGAGTTCAGAGTTCAATCCCTGGTTCCAAAAAATAAAATAAAATAAAGAAGATTTAGTTTCTAAGATTAGGTGTTTAATTCTTTCAAAGTATTTTATTATTGCTTTCTTTTTTTTCAGTCCTGGGATTTGAACTCAGGACCTTGTGCTTGCCAGGCAGACATTTGTGCCATTGAGCTATATCTCTAGCAACTTTCAATGTATATTAAATTTTTATTGCCTCATTTGTATATATGCAGTTTATATGGTGATGTATATTGTGATAAAAATTTCAAGTAAATTTTAAAATATAGACACAAAAGAATGGGGTTGGCCAACTAGAATGCTGCTCGAACGTAGCTACCATCTGTTTTTGTAAACAAAATTTTGTTGGAACACAGTGATAACAATTTGTCCTGTGGATCTTTTATGTGACTTCTTTGTTTATAGTTAAATAATAGCTTAGACAAAATTTTAGAGGCTTGTAGCAAATCTCAGATCTACTTGTAAGAGGTCAAATGTAATATGTTTATTGTATATTAATACATGTTTTTGGAACATCTTATTTTTAGGTCTTACTTTTGAGGAGCGGGATATCATTGAAGGAGCCTTCCGCCAAGGTCATATTCGGGTTCTGGCAGCAACTTCTACTCTTTCTTCTGGGGTGAATTTGCCTGCTCGTCGTGTGATTATTCGGACTCCTATTTTCAGTGGTCGCCCTCTCAACATTCTTACTTACAAGCAGATGGTTGGTCGTGCTGGCAGGAAAGGAGTAGACACAATGGGTGAGTTTGAATTTAATTGTAATAGCATTGCTGAAGGACAGTGTATTTGAAATTTCACTTGTACCTGGCCACCTGTTTTCCATTGTGTTATATATATCTTGATGTCATCACTTTTTTTTCTTCTGTATTTTAGGGAAGGGTCTACAGGGTGTTTAGGTCTCATTACTAGATCGGACTTGTAGTGATTCTCCTGTTTGCAGCCTCTCAAGAGCTGGGATTATAGGTGCGTGCCACCACTCCCGGTCTCAATTGTTGTCTCAGTGCGCCCCAGGGGCAGGGCTGGCACAGCAGATCCGGGGATTGAACCCCCTGCCCCTGCACCTGCTTGCAGGTGCTTTAATCCACTCAGCTATTTGGCCAGCCCTGATGTCATCATTTGGACTCAGTATTTATAGTGAGCATAAGTTACAATTTTCATGGTTTTTTTTTTTTTTTGTTTGTTTGTTTGTTTTCTTGTGGCAGGGTCTTACTAGTAGTGTAGGGTGGTCCTGAAATCACTCATATAGCTCAGGCTGGTCTCAAACTCATGGCTATCCTCTTGCCTCAGCCTCCCAAGTACTGATCATATATTGTTAGCTGTTGGATTTCTACTAATGTAGAATTAAAATTCCTTTTGTATTCTATGAAATGAAATGATTCAGTATTTATAAATGAAGATGATTTCTTACTATATTCACTGGGAGATGATTTTTAATTTCCAAGTATAGTCTATTCTCTAGCATTATTTGATTCTTAAGTATATTAGTTCTGCTTATGTAACTGGTCTTAGAGATCAAAGTAGGATGCTAAGAGCTTCTCATACTTCCAAAACAATAACTTTATCTTAGATATATTCATTTTTCATTCCAAATTGGTGCTGGCTTTGAAAATAAACTTTTTAATGTTTTACCTTGTACCAGAAAGTGATGATAATATCAGCAATCCAAAAAAAGTTTGGACTTAAGGTGTCTTCCAAGATTTAACTATTGTACGTTATGCTTCTGTGAATATGACTATGCGTGTATCAGTCTCTTTCATTTTTTTATTTTATTTTTTAAAATAATTTTGAGAAACAAATAGCAATGATACAGTTTCAAAATCGATTAGTTTCAATAATTAATACATTGTATATTGTTGTTTTAGTGGTTATTCACTGTACAAGATGCAGATATGATATCCTGTCCACAAACACTATTAGAACAAATCTTTCTATTCATTGAATTAAGAGAAAGTAGCTGTATATCTACCCTAACTATTTTGAATATACAGATACAAAATGGTCCTTCATTTACATCCCCTTTATTTGTTTACTTTTGTCAGAGAAGGGTATTCAGTCTCTTTCAGAAAGATATTAAGAAGGTAAATACCTGGATCAAGTCAAACTTACAGCTTTTATTTTTTGAGAAATATTCATACTGATTCTATATGATTTTACTAATTTATACACCCACTAACAATAGAGAAATGTTCATTTATCACTGCAGACTCTCTAGCATTCTTATTTGATTCATAATGATAGCCATTCTACTGAGATAGAATCTCAGTATTGTTTTTTCCATAATTTTATTGAGAAAAAAATAGTGATGAGACAGTTTCAAACCAAATTGGTAGGACAGTTTCCATAATTGACACATTGCATATATTCTTCCTAGTGGTTAATTGCTGTACAAGATGTAGACATGATATCCTGTTTACAAACACTGTTAGAACAAATCCCTCTATTCATTAAGAGAATGTAACTATATGTCTATCCTAGCCATTTTGAAGACACAGATACAAAATGGACATTCATCTGTATCCCCCTTTTTTTGTAATATCCGTTATTTGAATATTATAGGTGTTTTAACTCAGCAAAATATTCTAAAAGAGTCCAGTAGTCCATAATAGTATTGGGTCTTCCGCTTCGCTGGCAATGTCAGAAATTGTTGATCTGAGTCCCCTTACAGCTCAACATAAAACCATGGCTTTACTTCTTATAATATTTTGAATAGTTCTTCATGCTTTTGAGAGGACTTGAGGTTTTATTCTTAATGACAAGAAAATTCACTCGAGAGCCTGAGCAAAGGAATGTCATGATTTTTTTCACCACCTGTAATCTGAGCACTTGGGAGGCTGAAAACAGGAGGATCACTATGAGTCTGATCTGTGTTGGGAGATCCTGGAAAATATAATGCCAGGCTCTGATGATTAGATTTAGAGCCATTAAAGTTCCTCAGATATTGGAATAGTTCAATTTGAGATGGAACAACAGACTATGTTGTGTCTTGTGCCTTCTTTTTTTAGTAATTGAGGATGACAGATAAGTTGTTTCTACTTTTTCGCTTTATCTTGATAATTTCCACTGTGAATTTCCAAATTCCCTATCTCTTCATTACTGTGTTAGTCATATTTCTGTTGCCATGACAAAGTGCCTGAGAAAAATCAAATTAAAGGAGGGCAGGCTCATTTCAGCTCACGGTTTCAAGATCTGAGCCCGTGGCCAGCTGGCTTTATTGTTTCTTGACCTGTAGTGAAGTGGAACAATGCAGAAGGGCCTTCTGGAGGAAAGGTGATCACCTATGGCTACCAAAATCCAGGAGAGAGCTTGAATGTTTCTAGTCATTCATAACATTGTATACACTCAATAAATAGTGGCTGGCTGAGAGTGTCTTTGTCTCTGCCCATCCTAAGGAATTGACCTTCCAGCCTGTCTTCATGTATTTTATGTCCCAGATTTGGAGGCTTGCAGTGTGAAATTGGGATGTCAGCAGACCCACCCTCCTCTTGAGATTCTGGGCACAGTTCTGTGGGAAGCCTTAACTGGTATCCATTTTATAATAGTGTCAGTCATTTTCTTAAGTTTCTGTTCCCCTCTCAGTATTGTTTTAATTTGCATTTATCTCATTGAGTTTCTGTAATGTTGAACATTTTTTGTGTGTTTGTTGGTCATTTGTACTTCAAAGAAATTAGACATCACCAAAATTAAAAGACCCAATCAAAAAATGGGCAACTGAAATGAATAGATACTTGTTAGAAGAATAAGGGCTCTAGTACTCCATGCCAACAGTTTCAAACCCAGACAACTGAAGCTGGGCCTGGCTTTTGCTGTGGGGTGGAGTTGATCATCTTTTTATTACTGTGACAAAATATCTGAGAAAAGCAACTTACAACAGGAATGATTTATTTTGACTCATAGTCTCAGAGGTTGGCCAGCAATAGAGATGTACTTTGAAAACTACAAAAATGCTAAACAAATTATCAATAACATATTGACAAAATAAAATTTAAAACTTACACCTAAAATAAAAATCACATGGTAATACTTACTGTTAATGGTTTTAGTATGATTTATCCTCCAAAGACTCTTACTCATATCTTTTTGTAGTTTTCAAAGTGCATCTGTATTGCTGGCCACTTAATAATAGTTAATTCTGTAGAAGAAGAAAAACTTTTCTTCTACTTTCTTATGTTCTGAAGCTAGAGTCTGCTAAATAAATTGATACAGTTGAATAGGAGACAAGATAAATGTGCTATTTAACAGTAATGTTTTAATTTGTATGTATGTGGAAGTCTTCATAAAATGTGAAGACTCAATAAATTGTTAGACTATTTAATAAATTGCATATACTATTTTAACAAATGTCAGTAAGTTATGGAGAAGTGATGAGGCAAAGGAAAAGGGTTAAGCAAAGGAAAAGGTGTTTGATCTTAGTGGGTTAGAAAATCATAAAATATAATGAAAGGAGAAAGTTACGCAAGGGGAAGTCTATATCCTACTTTGAGTTTTAGGTAGATGGGGAGAGGACAGAGAGCTCTCTGTTTTTTCTAATTACATTTAGCTCAAATTGGTGTTTATTTGAAATAGTATATTTTGGGGTAGTGTATCCTAATTTCTTTTTATACAAAATTTGAAAAATAAAAGCATTAGCCGCAATTCTGTGACCATAACCACCACATCTTAACTATCACATGTTAGCTTTTTTAAAGGAGTAAGAGAACTTAAATTCTCTTAGCAGGTTCTTAAGGAAATGTGTTGAGATTTTGAAAATGTGTGGTTTTGATTATAGGTGAGAGTATCTTAATTTGTAAGAATTCTGAGAAATCAAAAGGTATAGCTCTACTTCAGGGATCCTTAAAACCTGTTTGCAGCTGTCTACAAAGACAAGATGGAGAAGTAACTGCCAGTATGATTCGAGCTGTTTTGGAGGTAAGAGTTGTGCAGAGTCTCATTTGGTTAAGTTAATAGCACTTTAGTATGTGCTTTTTAAAAATAAGATCATTATAGTCATGGCTTTTGCGTGTCTGAGTCTATTCATATGAATATATGGACTTGGAGTTGTTTCTTAGAATTTAAGACAGCTAATGCTATAACGGTATTTCAAAACAATGGTTAGAAGACACATGCTAGATGATTCTTTTAAAAACTTTTATGTTATCTTTCTTTAATTTAAAAAAAGAGGCCTGGCATGATGGTGCCTGCCAGCACTCAGGAGGCTGAGGCAGGAGGATTGCTTTGAGTTGGAGGCCAGTCTGGGCTACAAAGTGAGTTCAAGGCCAGACTGAACTTCATAATAAGAATCTCAATCTCTCTCTCTCTCTCTCTCTCTCTCTCTCTCTCTCTCTCT